GGATGACATCGCGGATGGGGTGACACAGCGGAGAGGGTGACACCGAGCGGGGGGGTGACACTGCAGAGAGGGTGACATTGTGGAGGCGGTGACACCACGGGGGAGATGACACCACGGAGGGGGTGACACTGTGGAGGAATGACACCGAATGGGGGGTGACACCGTGGGGAGGATGACACTGTGGATGGGGTGGCACTGCTGAGGGGTAACACCGTGAGGGGGGTGACACCACGAGGCAGGTGACACCACGGGGATGGTGACGCTACAGATGGGGTGACACCATGAAGAGGGTGACACCGTGAGGGGGGTGACACTGTAGGGACGGTGATGCCACGGAAGGGGTGACACCGCGGAGAGGGTGACACTGTGGAGAGGGTGACACTACGGTGGGGGTGACACTACGGAGAGGGTGACACTACAGAAGGGGTGACAGTGCAGAGAGAGTGACATTGTGGAGGCGGTGACACCGCGGGGGAGATGACACCACGGAGGGAGTGACACCATGGACGGGGTGACACTGTGAAGGGATGACACCTAGCAGGGGGTGACACCGCGGGGAGGGTGACACCATGAACAGGGTGACATCACGAGGGGGGTGACACCAGGGGGATGGTGACGCCACGGACGGGGTGACACCACGGGGACAGTGACACCGCAGACAGGGTGACACCATGAAGAGGGTGACACTGCGGAGGGGGTGACACTGTGGGGACAGTGACGCCACGGGGATGGTGACACCATGGAAGGGGTGACACCATGGAGAAGGTGACACTGTGGAGAGGGTGACACCACGGTGGGGGTGACACTGCGGAGAGGGTGACACTGCAGAGAGGGTGACAATGTGGAGGCGGTGACACCGTGGAAGGGGTGATATCGTGGGGATGGTGACACCGAGCAGGAGATGACATCGCAGATGGGGTGACACAGCCGAGAGGGTGACACCACGGGGGAGATGACACCACGGGGAGGGTGACACCATGGGGATGGTGACGCCACAGACGGGGTGACACCATGGGGACAGTGACACCGCAGAAAGGGTGACACCGTGGATGGGGTGAC